ATTTGCTTGGAGCTCTGGTTGGAAGCACTAAAGGGCCCTTTCAGAGCTCAGGGAGCAGCACTGTGATTGATGAGCAGTGTCTGCTGTGGACAGGAATCGTCTTTGGTCTTGTCCATAAAGAATGAGATTGTTAGATTTGGAAGGGCCTAAGGAGATTATCCAGTCCAACTCTTGACCTGGTAACTACTAAACCGTGTTTTGGGGGCTTTAGAAAAATAATCATGAGCTTGGCAAAGTAATAACCCTTAACTTTTTAGGCCTTTGTTTTCCTCATGGGTCTTATCAGTGCATTCAACATGGAGCACTATAGCACCTCCTAGGAATGTTTGGTGGGATCTTCCAGTTAAGTTCGGGAAATTCTGCATTTACCATATCCCTTCTGAAACACACATAAGGCAGAGTAAACATGGTCAAGGTCCTGAGAAGTTCAACTATAAAGAAACCTATCTAACATTGTTTCCCAAATCTTTGTGATCCCAGGATGCTTTTCAGGGACACCTGTTGCCATCTTGTAGAACACTCTTCTTTAGATGATGTCATATGATGTTTAGGAAGTGGGGGATATATTAGTTTCCTAGGGCTGCTATATCCAAGTGTCATAAACTTGGCACAACAGAGCAACAGAACTGTATTCTTCCATAGTTTTGGAGGCCAGAGGTTTGAAAATCATGGTGTCACCAGGGCCATACTCCCTCCAGAAGCTCTGGGAGAGAATCCATTCCTTGCCTCTTCCAGATATTGGTGCCTGCTGACAATCCTTGGTGTTTCTTGGTTTGTGAGTGTATCACTCCCAGTATCTGCCTCTTCTTCACATGGCCGCCTTCTCTCTGTGTGGCTATTAAATCTCCCTCTGCCTTTCTTTTATAAGGTCATTTACCATGACATTTAGGCTCACCCAGGTAATCCAGAATAATCTCATTTCAAAATCCCTAATTTTAATTATATCTGCAGGGACCCTTTTCTCAAAGATGACGTTCGCAGGTTCCAGGATTTAGGACATGGACATATCTTTGGGGGGGGTCATTTTTCAATCTCACACAAGGACATTTGACTCAAGGATCAGGAGACCTGCATCTAGTCCTTGCTTTGCCAAGAGCTCCGCCCACCACAGCTACATGGGGCAGCAGTTAGAATGGTTACATTGGGACACAGGGCCCATTTCTTTACCCTCAAAACCTCAGTCCCCTCAACTATTAAATGGGATGTAATTGTACATACTTCATAGGATGATTATAAAGGTTAAATGAGATCATTCTTGTAGTGTGCTTAGCACAGATCAGTACTAAGTATTAGCTTGTTACTCTAATGGCATGTTTTTACTATTGTTGCTCCTCCTACCGCACTAAACCATGTTCTTTCTCCTTGAAATTTCTTGTCAAATGAAGTGATAGGGACTGCTTCATCACACAAAATATCCAGGTTCCTCTTACAACTGGTGGATGGTTCTGGACCTCTCAAAGGCCTCCTTTTATTTTATTTTCAGATCTTTTCATGGAAATATAATATAATCAAGGAAAGTGAACATAAATGTTCAGCTCAGGGAGATTTTATAAACTGACCACACCCATGTCACCAGCACACAGATCAAGAATCAGATGTCACCCAGAGCCTCTTCTGTGCACCCTCTTTGGGTTTTCTACACTAACCATTATCCATCCTTCCTTCTAGCATCATAGATTCTTCCTGTTTTTATATCTTAAATGGAACCATACAATAGGTACTCTTTTGAATCTGGCTTTCACTCAAGGTTTCATTTGTGAGATTCAATCATTTTGTTGTATATAGTTGCAGACCATTAATTTTAATTGTTTAGTATACCGTTCTTAAATAGACCACAATGTATCTGTTCAATTGTTGGTGGGTGTTTGGTTAATATCTAGTTAGAGGCTATTACAAAGAGTACTATTTTGGTCACTCTAGTACATATCTTTTGGGGAATATACAATGCTGGAACAAAATCCACGATACTTTGAGTCAAGAACTCTTTTTTCCCCATATAGCCTGTTTCAGGTGCTCTGCACCACAGAGAGCATCTCATAACCAAGGGGGCACGGCTGCTTTGAAGGAATCATTCTCCTTCATTCCTGCCCACCACGTTCCGAAACTGTTGGCCAAGCCGACATTTCCACGATTGTTGAAATCTTTTTGAACCACCACACTTTGCAGAATACTCTTCTCTTGGCCTGCCTTCCAGTGGGCTGGGACCAGGTGTGGTCATTTCAAAGTAGTCAACACCCAGCCAGGGACACAGCTCCACATCCTGGCATCTCTCTCAGTGCCACCCCACTTATTTACTCGGGCCCCCACTACCAGTGGGAAGTCTACCCCTTCTTCCCTGACTGCCTTAAGGAGAGATGATATGGGCCACAGATGTCCCTTTCCTTCTCCATCTGAGGCCCCCACTGAAGTAATCCTACACACCCATTTCATAATCCCAAGCCTGGCATTTGGAACAACCCAACTGTCTTATAGATTAGAGCGTGTCCGACTGAAGGTTGGGGGCAGAAGGGTGGAGGAAGGAGTTGGCACAGACTGGTAGTGTGATGTGGGCATGAGCCAAAAACTTAGCACCATTGCTGACAAAGGTTGGGAGCTGCTGGTTTAACTCAGCCATATAATTTTCCTTTTGTTGGGAGAAGGTTGGAACTCATGCTTCAGCTGTTCCTGGTATTATATGCATGAGAGATTCTTTCCTAGATCCCTGAACTGAGTTTGGTCATGGATGAAGCATTACTACCATACGGTGACTGGTAGAATCCCATTTGCGGCTTTGCCTGGGGTTCTATTAATTTGTGCCAGATTACACATGTCAAATCCGGAATTCGCTGGGGAAATGTAAGATGGATATTAAGCATAGTTACCAAAACATTCAGAGAGATGAGATCTCAGTGCAACTAGGCTTGTCTTGTCCCTTTGTCTTGTTCATTTTGTCCCTTTTTATGATTGGTGGACTTCAAATATGTCTGTGACAGGTAGAGTGGGGAGGGAGGCATAGGAAACGATACATTGTTATGCTCTTGTGTTTATTTTGTATTGCCTGGTGACCAAGAAGTGGGAAGGAAAGTGCGGCTGTTTGGGAAGGGTGAGGTTGACTCTGGAAGATTTCTTATCTGTTAAAGTCAACAAAGAATTAAGCCGTATTTTTCTAGAGGATGATAATCTCTCACAAAAATGGGCAAATAATTGAGCAACTGCTATGCCAACTTCCTTTGGAGATTTAGTTATAATAACAGTTGTCATTTCTTATGCCTTTTTTAGATGACCAGCCGTGCCATGGGTCTCTGTCATGGGTCCACAGACTTTTTTTTTTTTTTTTTTTGGTAAAGGGCCAGACGTTAAATATTTTAGGCTTTGCAAGTAAAGAGGCGAAGTTGTGGACACTATGTAGGTACTTACATAATGATAGGACAGATTCCCACACAATTTCTGTTGACAGAATTCCCAATGTAATGATAATAATTGAGCATAACATTTTCATAATATAGGTCTGCTAATGAGAAGAATGGAATTCTTTTTTGAGGAGGTGGAGATTGGCATTACTGCTCCCTGTTGGGAAATTGATGGCAAACGTTTATCACAGAAAATCACCTTTCACTCATGGGCCAGGTGGTGGGTTGGATTTGGCCTGGAGGCCACAGTTTTATTTACATTGTTGCTGAGCTGTATGTATCAGTAATGCTTACGTTGGGCCGAATAGGACAGGGAAAAACTCAATATTGACATAAATGTGTTAGGCATTTATTTCTCTCCCTGTAAAAGAAGTTTAGAGGTGTCATAGTGACCTAGGTTTATTTTTTCTGCCCTGCCAATCTCAGCATAAGGCTTCTGTTGCCAGAATCACCCCCGGTACCTGCTCCTGCCATCACATTTGCATTTCAGTAAGCAAGAATAAAGGGGGAAAGAAGCGCATAGCTCCTCTTTTTTAAGGAGACCTCTCAAAGTGCCCCCCAATCCTACCACTATCTCATTGGCAGGCCATGGTCACATGATCACACACCTCTGCAGAAGAGGTTGTCTACTCCACCTGTTAGTGTGCTTAGAGAACAGTTGGAATCCTAACTCCTGAGGGGGGCAGGAGAAATGTTAGGATCAGCAGCTAGAGTTTTCTGCCATGTGGACCAAGGGCAGAAGGTGAGCCTTGGAGAGAGTGCCATCTTCCCCAAGGCCATGAGGTAGCAGGATCTGACCAGGTCTGCCCAATTCTAGTCTTCTGTCCCTCTCCCTAAGTCTACCCTTAAGCATTGTGGGGAGGTTCACATGCATAACATAAGGAATGAGATGATGAGTGATCTGTATCCTTGATCCTTCCAAAGACGTTCCCAAAGTACCTATAAGGAAGGATGATGGCCATCATCCTTCAGTGGTCGGTGGAGAGCCCAGTGAAGAGTGGACCACGGCACATGGCTGCAGTTAAAGCCTCAATGACACCTCCTACTTCCCCCTAAACATTAATGCACATCTTGAGAATCCTACCAAACCTTTTCAGCAGTCACATAGAACAGGAAGCAAATACAGTGACTATCAAGCTCGGGCATGCAGAGAGGAAGCTGACAGGCCTTGTCATAAGCGCACTTACCTACCAAGCTGCATGAAAGCAAGAACACAGGAGCAAGGAAACAGTGCGTGGGCATGTGGACTTCTAAAGTGACTCTACACACTACTATGGCCTGGCATTTAGCCAACCAGGCTCACAACTTCTTATCTTGAATGGGAAGCTGGGGAAAGGTGGGTATGAGACCTCAGATTCCTTTTGCTTACTATGTATACAACATACTTCTCCATATTCCGTGTTTGTGAATGGAATCTGAAACCTCATACCCATATGTATGTCTGTATGTGTGTATATCTATGAGTAATGTATACATGCAGATATAGATACAAATGTTCAGCTATTAGAACATTTGAGTGCTTGCTAAGTACCAAATCATTTAATTCCCGTAATCCCACAGTAGCCCTTTGGGGTACCATCATCATCACCATGTTAAAGACAAGTCAATACAGTGTTGAGAGGGTAAGTAACTTGTTCAAGACCACAGGGCCGTATGTGGCAAACCCAGGCATTTGAACTTGAGTCTTCACTTTCGACTCTACTACTTTTGACTGTATTTCTTAAGTCACCCTGTAAGCTAAAAGCTGTAATAGCGTTTTCAACAAAGATCATGGGATTACCACAGTGGGAATGATTAATCTTGACTTGGGGGGAGAAATGGGCAAAGCTTTCAAGAGGTGGGGACATTTGAGCTGGACTCAATGAGTAGGATCATGTGAGTGGGAAGAAGGAAATCCACTGAAACAGATTATTATTGGTCCAAGATGTAACACAATCTACTATAATAATAAATAACTAGCCCTGGCTAGTGAGGAGGTGAGAAATGGATTCAGGAGTCCCGTCTTTCTGTTCACCTCTCTCTGAATACTCCCATCACCATAAAAATAGCGGATCCATGTTCCTGAGGTGGCTTCTCGTCTAGCTCAGTCTTGTCTGTCAAGTTGGGGGCCAGGCGCAAAGCTTCTTGCCAGGAGATGACTTGCACTGAGGTTTAATGGCCTGGTATAGAATTGTGTGTTCCTCTTTCCACTGTATTCGGGACTTTGGTTTGTCTAAACTGGGCTCTTTGTGATAATGGAAAGGAATAAAGCTCATAAATAAAAGAGGAGACGAAAGTAGGTTTTAGTAATGAGGCTCCTGCTTGATCGCATCAGCAAGCTAAGGAAAGAGCCATTAAATATTTATTGAATTGTTGCATTAACATTTTCACTGCCTGCTGCGGACACTAAAACTCTCTGGAGAGTGCAGTCGTCTACCACCAAAGAGTGGAGGGAACCGGGGCCAAGCCGAAACCGACAGCTCTATTATTACAGACTTCCATCTCTCTGAGGGGCCCAGAGAGACAGTTGCTAGAGGAGACTTGGTTGAGGTTGAAGACAGTGAGTGCACAGGCGGGGATGGAGCATAGCAGGCGCCCTACCTTGAAATGCCTCGGGCGATCAGCCAGCAGGTCCAGGCACATTCCAAGCTGCCCTTTGATTTTTTTCCAAGGCCACTGTCTCTTGAGCGTTTTGTTTATGATTAGTTTAATTATGATAAACCATGGTAAGATGTAGACCCTTGGCTCTTCTTCCTACCCACCCCCCCCCCCTTCTTCTTAGTGGAAAAGATTCTTTAAATGGGGCTGTGTGAAGCTGGGTGAGAGAGTGCAGATTGCCTCAGCAGACCCAGCACTCTCCTCCTGTGGCCGGTCACCTTCCAAATAAGGCATGCTGTAGGTATTCCAGCCGCTGTAAGGTCTTGAGCTGGTCAAGGAGTCAATTATTATGCATTAAAAAGCAATTCATCATCTAGAGTAGTGAACTCTTGTGTTATTTTTAGGCCAACCTTTTAATTTATGTGGCGTGCAAGAACAGGGTTTCTCACGTGAACTTCTGGAGGGTTCATGGAACAATACCCAGGGTAGGGGGTGGGGCACCCAGCAGGAGTAGGTCTCTGAACGACTTTGCAATGATCCCATAGTTGGCTAGTTTTTAACAAGGACGTTAGAGTCAGACAGTAGTCCACCTCCCAGCTCTGCCACTTGCCACTTTGATGATGTCGAGTGGGTCACTTACACGGCCTGAGTCTGTTTCTCTGCCTGTACAATGGATTCATTATGGGATGTACCCCAACAAATTGCTCTGAGGACAAGATGAGATAATGCATGTAAAGCCACTAGGATAATACTTGGTACATAGCAATCACTTCATCGGTGCTAGTTGTTGTTACTATTTCTTAAACCTTTAATTCTAACCTAGAACTTTCTAGCCTTTGAGACTTCCTATAAAGCCAGACAGGAGGTGAATCTCAAATCACTAAATCATGGACGTTCACAACTGGAAGGTACCAAGAAAAGATCATCAAATTGGGGGTCGGCAAAGTCTGGCCCTCTAGCCACATTCAGCCTGCAGTCTTTTCTGTACATTGTTTTGGTGGAACACATTCAGGCCCATTCATTTATGTTTTCTCTATTTCTCTATGGCTGTTCTCCTACTGCAAGGGCAAAGCTGAATAGTTGTGACAGAGATGATATGAGCTACATGCCCTCAAAGCCTAAAAGCTTGACTCTCTGACCCTCTACAGAGCAGGTTTGTTGACCCCGATCTAATCCATTTAGGATTTGCCCCTCAGGAAACCAAGGTTCAGAGGAGGACAAGGACTTGAAGAGATACACTGCCAAGTCTTGATCATAAGCTCCCTGACTGCTCTCATGCTGTTGTGCATCTTGCCTCCTGGCTTGCCAAGAAAGGGATCATGGAAACACCAGGGAGAGCTCATCCACTCGTGTATTGGAAACCAGAGCAGAAGTGCTGTTGACCAGCAAATAAACCAATCCTGCCATGGAGGAAACCACTTCTTAGAGGTAAAGGATCAACACTGGGATGATGCAGGATCATGCCCACCACTCCGGCGCTCATGTCAGCTGAAGGAGTTACAACCTCCCGCTCAGTGTTCTCCAACCAGTCAACCAGTGGGTGGGGAGGGGGCACGCTTCCATTGGGTCCTTCTAGCGTGTGGTGGACCTGTCTGGGCACAGTCAGTGGGGACCAAGTATGAACTTTCCTGAAAGAGAAAGCTGGTGAGGGAAGTCATTTTCAGAGGCTTTTTGCTTCAGAGTCCCTCCCTATGCTGAATGCCTCCTCTTTTATCATTTTGTTGAGTGTCCTATTTGAAGCATGTCATTGAATCCTTCGAACAGCCTTACAAGACAGGAAACTGTTGTGACCCTCATTGTACAGAGGAGGAGGTAGAAGCTTGGAGTGGTTAACTGACCTAGTCAAGGTCACGAGACCAGTGGTGGAGCCAAGGCCTGAATGAGGGCCATCAGAGTCCAAAGAAAAGAGTTATATATTAGAGATGAGGGAAGGCTGTCGGCATAGGTATAGGCTATGCCCATTACTTTTTTTTTTTTTAAGACCATCTTGGGTTGATTCATACACATTCTTAAACACTTTGTTATAATGTCTCCATTGTGTTGCATTAAAATGTGAATTCACCCATAGGATTGTCTGACCAGAAAAGCAATAAATCTTATCTGCGTCTCAAGTGGTAAGAGACCCCCCATCGTTGGGTGGTTCATCAGAGCAGGGGGATGGGTCTGTTGTACACACTGATGAGTCCCCAGAGCCTAGAACAGGGCCTGGCATGTATTAGGAGCTCAGTAAATATTTGTGGTGTATCGGACAAACTAGAATTCAAGATGTGAAATGTTATTAGCTTAAGTCACCAGATGTAACTGAGCTGCTATGCTCAAAGGCAAACCCGATATGGGTGAAGGGGCCCAGACTCAGACTGGGAAATTGAAAGCTTCAGACTTGCAGATCGGGAGGCACAGCAGTGAGGAACAGACACCCAGATGCGAGCAGTTCCCTGATCTCTGACCCCTCACCGGAGTTCTTGCCCTTATGTGCGAAATGGACTGTCTGCCTCTCAACAGAAATGCTAAAGAGTGGCTTGTGACTCCTGCGCTCCCTCCAGAGAAAGTGTGCTGAATGCAGCCTTGGAGGACCTAAGGCGTGCTGGGACTGGGGGCGTGTCCCAGGCAGAGGGCCCAGCACATACAGAGCATGCCTGGAGTGTTGAGGGACAGCAAGGGGGAGGACCTTGGGGCTGGAGCCAGGATGGGTGAGCAGGGAGGAGGGGAGATGCCAGGGCACATAAGGCCTTGCTGGCCCGGAAGGAGTTTGGTTTGCACTCCTTGCTGGATGGGAAGCCCACAATGGGCTTCACACACTGCAGTAAAGGAGGCCTCCCAGGGTTGCCAGTTTCCGAATCTCAACTCAAAGCAGTTTAAGCCAAAAGGGACTTTATTGGCTCATGGGAATTCAGAGGGTTGGCCCTTATTTCAGGCACTGCTCGGGGTGCATAGGGACTCTCTCTCTTCTCCAGCATCTGTACTGCTTTGTATTGGCTTCATTTCCAGGCATACTCTCTCCACCCTTCACCAACGAAGACTGTTTGCAGTTCCCGACCTAAGAGTGCCAGGATCTCAGGAGCAAGGCTTACTCACAATTCCAGTGTCCTTATCGGTGCCCTCCTCATGAAAAAAAATATTGATTGGCCCTGTCTTCTTGACAGACACACTCCTGGACTAATCAAGGGCAGGGGAGAGTGGCATGGGATGCTCTGGTTGGTTGACTGGGGTCATACGTCCGCCCGTAGGCAAGGTAAACTTGGCCTCTCTATAGTCCAGTGGTTCCCAGTGTGGTCCACTCCTCCCTCTCTCACAGGGACATTTGCCAATGTTGGAAAATACCAATAGGTGAGAAACCCACTATAGCCCCAAGAGGATATAGATGCGCAGGGAGAACTTGTAATGCAGACCCAGGAATGGCCTGGCTCTCAGAGCCTTCCATAAAACCTGCTGGTGGGTAATGCTATGGTTAAGAACGAAAATCAGCGTTTCCTTTGGTGATCGAGGGAAGGAGAGCGGTGATGGCTTCTGAAATTCTGAGTTCCCTTCTACCTCTGCTCCTTAAGAGTTTTCAGGCCTTGAGCAGGTCATTCAGCTTCTGTTTTCTGTTCACGAAAATTGGTGGAAAAAGACCCCATTGCACCAAGTGTTGGGGAGGTTTGGATTGAAGCTCCTCCATGTAAAAGCAATTTAGAAACTGATAAGCTACCCAAGTAATGCATCCTAGAGACAATCTCTTCTGCACAGAGTGCTTTGCTACCCATTGTGTGTTCTGCAGAAGAGTCTCCATGAAGAAGCATCCATTATAGTGTGGGTGGTTGGAACAGCCTTGCAGTACGAGACAGCAAGCAGGAAAATACCCCCCCGAAAAGTGGGAGGGATTCAGACCTGGACAATGGGATATGTTGGATGTGCAACAGAACCGATGAGCTGTAGGGCTCAAGGAAAAGGGCTGTGGAGTCCTCAAGGCATTTACCGTGTAGCTTCTTTCCATTTAGGGGTTGAGCCTTGTTAGTTACAAAAGGTTGGTTGTGTGGTTTATTGACAAGTAATAATCTTTCACGCTGAGTCTCCATTTGACAAGACTCTGACAGGTACTACAGTTCATACAGCTGCAATTTTTTTTTCCCTTAGGTTGTTAATGTATATATTTTTCTTTATGGAAAGGGGAAAGATTGTCAGAGTGTTAAGGTAGTAAATCCTATTGAGGAAATGTCTGATAAATTTGTATATCAAAGGAGTTTACTTTAAGTCACAGTTTTAAATTACAGCTTTGGGTAAAGAATCAATAAAGAATTTCCTTTAAGGGTTAAATTCTCGACCTATTTTTCAGCTTCCCTTAAGTCCTGTTACCAGCCAAGGTAGTGTGTGATCATGGTTTCTATGGCATCTACTATTATTGTTTAATTCCGTTTCCTAAGAGAGTCCATCAGGGTAAAAGATTTGCCACATTTTGCAAAAAGGAGTAGTGTGGGGGGGTGTCTTTTAAAAAGGGGGTGACACTATCAAATGAAGGGACACAGTTTTCCAACTGGATTTGTCTCATTGGCTTTACCTCTCACTCCTTTGATGTGAATGGTGATTGATCTGTGGTTCAAGTCACCACCTGCCTGATAGCTAGAGAGGTTGACCTTTTGCTCTTCACGTGGCAGACTTTAATTATTAGCCTGCAACTGACTGACTTTGTGCCTGTCCCCACACCCACAGGCTGCTGCACATTAAGTACCTCTCCTTGGTCCTTTCTGATTGGGAAGTTACTGGGGGAAGAGAGGCAATTTCCCTTTGGCGTTGACTAGAAGGGTTTTTTTTCCCCCTAATTAGTTGCCATTTGCCCATTATTAAGTGCTTTCCTTGAAATGAGTAAGGAAGACAGAGGAGGAGTTAGGTGAAGCAGGTTTCTGCCAAGACAGATCATTAGCAAGAAGTTAGTGGGAATGACTCAGGAAAATTAACTGATGTTAAGTGAATTATTTCTAATGTGCATTTTAGTTTTTATCTGGTGAGATGGTGGGCTGCCTTTTTAAAAAAAGAAGTACTGGGTGCCTGGGTGGCTCAGTTGGTTAAGCGACTGCCTTCGGCTCAGGTCATGATCCTGGAGTCCCGGGATCGAGTCCTGCATCGGGCTCCCTGCTCGGCGGGGAGTGTGCTTCTCCCTCTGACCCTCCCCCCTCTCATGTGCTTGCTCTCTCTCATTCTCTCTCTCTCAAATAAATAAATAAATAAATAAATCTTTAAAAAAAAAAAAAAAAAGAAGTACTAAGTGCTCAGCTTTCTGTTGCACAAATGTCCAAGTAAAGTTTCAGTTACATAAGTTGGACAGAGGATGGACTTTAAAGTTTTATGGATTGGGGTGTGCAGACCAGGGGAGGGCCCGTCAGTCTTCCTGACCCATCTAAAGAATGAATGGCTGATTTCTCAGCTGGTGAGAAGCTGGTGAAAACCAGTCCAGACCCAAAGTCACTTTGATCTCAAAATTATTTTACACAGCCACTTGTGTTTCAGGCCCATTAGAAAATGAAATTCCATGCTGTAATTCCTAATTGAATTACTTTTCTTCAATAAAAATCAATTTGAGTCGTCCGCTCAGTAGTATCCCACACCCGAAGGCCTATCTCTGGTGATAGTCTTTGTATCTCATCCTATGGCTGAAGAAACTGTGTTCTATCCTATGTCATGGTTAGGGCCCGGGTCACTTACATTATGACCTACAACACTTGAGTCTAGGCATTCCTTCCTTTGAAATGGTGTCGTCTTAAGTTAGGGAAAAAACTTTGTGCCTGGCTCCTAATTGCTGCAAAATTTTGCAAAGCTAAACAATGGAATCAAAAGAATCCACCTACCATTCAGGAGGTTATATATGATGCAAGACAAAAGGATGGCAAAATGTCTTTATCCCTTGAGACTAATAGTCATTTTAGAGTGTTACTCTTTTAAAATCAGAGTGCGTAAAGGTAATCTGTAGCCTATAAATACATGGCAAGGTAATATAAATAGGATGTGCTCCCTCAAGGAGAAGCTCACTTTGATCTTCCTTGCACATTAAAATGCATGCAAAGTGATGGCTGCAATTATTAAACTGTATTTTGGGAGCTTTCTGTTCAAATGAGGAAAAAGAAACATTATACAGATCATTAAAGTGTTACCACCTGATCAGGGAGCCTGGCCTTCTGGAGAAGAATTCTGTACTGGAACCTGACCAATCAAGAGGCCTAGATTCATTCTAGGGGCAGCCCTGCTAGCTACAGCTAGCTGGCCTGGTGGCTTTGGACAAGTCACATGACCTGTTTTGGTTTCAGGGTTTTCACCTACAAAATGAGATGTTCGAATATGTGATCCCAAATATATGAGTTTTGAAAAATGGACTTCAGATTGACCCACGAAGACCTTCCTGTGAATAAGTATTGGTAAACCCGGCAATGAACCCTGTGGGTAGATTCTGCCCCCTCCTT